CCACTGGCAGGGCCATCTTAGAATTTAATGAGTGGAGATCCACACACACATAGGAACTCAATACTTGTCAATTAACACCGCCACCCCATTTTCATGCAGCTGATTGAATATACAGATTCAGCTCCCTGAGGCCCCTCACCCCTCACCCCAACTCCTCCCCGCAGGCGCCCTACATTCCGTTAGATTCTTCTGGCAGGGGTGAGGAAGAAAGGGGGGAATGGAATTATTCGAGGCCCAGCAGATGTAGGCTGAGTTTCCCTGTCCTTACAAGACGTGAGACGTCCTGGCTAAACCAGTGTCTACCTCGGAGAGAGTGGGATTACCCCCTCGGGATCTGCAGCCAAGGGATTCATGTCCATTAAACTCCAGGTCTGTCCTGTGTGCCCAGGGGTCTGTCGCATGGCTCCACCCCTCACCCCACTCCCCTTCGAGCTCTGCCTCGGGATGTGGGGTGCGTGGCCGGGCCTCCTTCTCTATGCCTCTGGTCGCTGGGGTTGACTTGTGAAGAGTGGGCTCTGGGGAGACTCAGTGCTTCGCTGAGGGCCACACCCCTTGTCTCCTTGCCACTCCTGCATCGGTGATCTGGAGTGGGAGAGAAGGAAGGAGGTGACAACTGCCCGCTAGGGTGTCTTCTCCTTCGCTTGCTGACTGGCTGAAAAAGTTGTTGGCAAAATTCAAAGCAGACTTTAAAACTCTAGTCAGTTGGGAGATTGGCCGGTTTCCAGTACCTGCCCCCCCTTGGGTCTTTTGCTCTTAATCTATCCTGGTCGCTGCTTGTTTGAGGTCAATTCAGCAAGCCTTTGTGTCTCACCAGTCTTGAGATGTGCGAGTGACCCAATTCCCTGGGGTTTCGTCCACCCTGTGCCTTAGCCTTTAACTGCTCCAGAAGGCTTCCTCTTTCCGCCTCCCCTCTTTCCACCACTTCCCCTGCGCTCCCAGGTTCGATCAATGCTCGCTCCTCTTTGCTGCTCTGTACCAGTTACACTTTTCATCTCGATTTTTGTTCTTTGTTCCAGAGCCAAGTTCTCCCAGTGTGTTTTAAGCCCCTGTGCTATAGAAGCGAACCCCATTCTCTTTGCTTCCTCTCCTGGACCACCAAGTCAGTGTTGAGCTATGCCAATCCAGCCCCACTCTGCCTTTTCTCCTTTTAGAACTTTTCAGGAAGACCGAGGTTGGGGGAACCAATTGGGAGCCCAGCGCTAGTTAATGCTGGTGTTGTAGACTGGAATCCAGCAGGCAAATCCCATGTGATTTGGGGAAAGCTACCTAACTTCTATGCACCCCAGCTCCTTTGAAAAAGGAGAGTCAAATTAGCTTTCTATTGTTCAGGTTTGCTTATGGGGTTAAAGGAGGCCAGGACTGAAAGCCTCCTACCATGCTCTCTAAAAGGTAGCGGCCATCGCTAAAATCAGGAATGGCATTGTAGTGGCCTCGACAGAAGCACAAGGTTTCTCATGGCTTCATGCCCTGAGGTTTACATTCAGAAAACATGCAATAGAAATAGCCCAAAGGGGAGTATATTTCAGAAAGGGCCTAATTCCTTTTACCTTCGCCCTCCCACTTACTTTGTTTGGGTGAGGATGGGGACAAACCTCAGACTTCACCTTTTGATTTCGACTTTGGAACACGGCCTTGACATCAGTGGTGCCATGCACGCCAGAGCCTTGCCCGCTGGCCGATGGTCTCCTTTATGCTGGCCTGGAGCTCCGAGGAGCCTGTGGTCTCCCCTCAGACTTCCGGTGACTTCTCTCTAAGGGTCTTCAAGTCAGTAGGTACTTGACTGGTTGCTTACCCGAAGAAGCAGAAATGGAGGTTTCTGGAAGCTGGAGGCTCTGAGGAATCTGAGATCTAGCAAAATCTATCTGACTAAGAGAGTGTTGAGGTCTGGTCTTGGTGCACAAGACAGGCCGGTCTTAGGAGGTGTCTTGGAGCGTGATGGAGAAGTGGGTCTCCTTCCTAGTTTTTCCATTCACTGCTTCACCCCTGGCATGGCCTCTCATTTCCTCATCTCCCCCCTCCAAAGGTAGTGTAATAAAAGCAATGCCCCCGCCCCAAGGGGGTGATGGATGTCCAGAGGTATGTTTCAAGGAGAACATTTAAAGGTGATACAATGCATTTAGGCTATATTTGTCGGATTTATTTCACATACCTATGGTACATACTGGAATCCGTTTCTTAATGAAGCGGACACTTGACATTTGATTTGACGGTAACATCCCAGGTAGTTTTG